AGTGGCGGGCCACATTTGGCCCGCGGGCCTGGGTTTTGACCAGGGATGGCCATTTCCGAATACTAAACTATTCCGAATACATTCTAAAATAATGTTTTCGAATCTGGAATTCCGAATACATTCTAAAATCGAAAATAACACATTTTTGTTTAGTTTATTAAAACCCAGTAAATTAGGAAATAAGCTTCAATAAAAATATCAGAATAAAGCCACAAACCAACAATATATGTACACAAGATAATTGATAGTTTATAGCTATCAATAAAAAATAATAGCAACTTGTGACACAGTCAGTTTATTAAAATTATTCACTTTGTACAAATGACCATATGAAAAGATAGCCAAGGAGTTGTCTGACGCTTTCTATCATTGGTACCATGATATTATGATAATAGTCAAGTCTGTTGACAAAAATACTACTTGTATTCAGATAATTGTGTATATTTTCTGAGAGTAATAAAATTTATTGGCAATACAGGCAACTGAAACAAGCAACAACAATCGAAAATCCATTATGCCTTTAAAAATTCTAATATTTAAGCATAGAGTATTCTACTACCTACCAGTATATTTGTATATTAATTTATGTGAACCATATTGTTATTATGTGTAACATATTGTTGTGTTTGAAATTAGAAATAAATTAGTAGAGGATAAATGACCACCACTGCCAGCCGCGCAGCCAGGATTTTCGAAATCGGAAATTCCCATTGCCGCCTGTAACACCCAAAGTGACTTTGGTAACACCCACCGCGATTCCGCGCTCGTTAAAAGAGCCGTCTTTTCAGCGTATAATGATCATCCTGTTACGTAAAATATTCAATCCATGACAACTACGAGTTTCTAAAATATCTTTATATATTAATTTAATGTGTCCAACGTAACTCGCGGTTGCTTCTTCTTACGTCAAAAAAAAACATTACTATTCGGTCCACGGCGATCTGTGACCTAAAAGTACGAGATAAACTGCCTGATGTATTTAATTTTAATACGTATTTTTGCAATCTTGCCAACTCGTTATCGCCGTTAGAAAAATCTCAAATAATGATATAAAATCCTGTTAAGTGTAGAGTATAATTCATTTCATACAATGAATATAAATATAAAGTTTAGCAGTAAATTGTACAATTGTAAAAATACGTATTCATCGCCGCGATTATGCCACCTGTTAAAAGAGTCGACTTTTACAACAAATAATATAACAATATATTTTTCTGTTGTGCAAAGTGATGAATTCGTGACCGATACGGGCATATTTAAAATGTCTTGCTTCATTATTAATTTAATTGTCTTCAATTTAACCTGCGGTTGCGTCGACAAAATAAAATCCTCACCACTCTTATATACCATTGCAATCCGCGGTCATAAAAATAAAAACGTGTGGTAAACTGCCCGATTAAATAATGTTTTGATCCGTATTTTGCGAATTCGGCAAATATTTAGATGTACTTGTTAACAGTGTCTCCGCTCAATCGAAATGCTGCCACTCTGATTATTTTTAGATAAAACCGTTCGAAAAATCCGTAAATCTTCTGTAACATCTCCGAGTGAAATTTATTTCATCAAAATAAAATTGATTAAATATACTTTGAAAATATTCGACGGCAATTTAAAGTAATGGATAATCAGGCAAATCCCGCCCTCAATTCGTGACGATATGTTTCTAAACGCCGACCAAACATAATGTGTGCCAGAGGCACACGAAATTCTGCGATTTTCACTGCCTAGAAAAGCGTTTTTCAAATTTTCGCGGGCCTCAATAAAACTTATATTGTTTACGGTTTTATTTTCAGTATTTTAAATTGCCGCTTTTCAATCAAAAAGTTGCGTTGTCTTTAGAAACTCGCCGCCGATGAACGTATTTACCAGATTCACAATTCCGTGCGCGTACAAAAATAAAATAATTGTCTTCGTTACGTGGAACAAATTTGTGGAAAATTTTCGTTTTAGAGAAAATAACACAAACGTAAAGGCGTTTACAGCCTAAATAACACGTTACGCTGATGAGTGATGAAAACAATCACGCGCAAGTTTCTATCGAGAATGTTTTCATTCAACGGAAACGTCTTGAGAGCGGCGTCGAAAATGTGTGACGTCACACAAATATCCGATATTCTTATGAACGCTAATTCCGATATTCGAATGACGAGATATTCGAATACATTCGAATACTTTATTCGAATTGGCCATCCCTGGTTTTGACCACCCTAAGTTAGAACATCTATAATAAATGTAAAGTTTCTGAGTGGCGTCCGTATTCAGATTCTTGCTTCCAGAGACATATTATTTATATTCGTCAGATTTTCGAAGCAAAGTTGTCATGCAAAATTGCTAGTGTGATTTTTATTGTCCAGTTTAGGATTGGCAAATTTGTGCATTCATGCTATCGGACGTTCTTAATAGGCGCTCCAGAAGTATGTGTACCAAGATGACGCACAACCTGACCCTAACTTGGTATACATACTATGTTTAGGTTGTGCGCCATCTTGGTACACATACTACATGAGCACCCTTAATAAATGCACCGAGCAAAACGGGGAAAAACTTAACGCAGCGACGAGAGCAAAATTCTTTTTTAAACATAAACTGTCGGATTGGTATTTTATGCTTGATAAGAGAATATCTCAGTGTTGATAAGGGGCCACACTGAATGGCTCAGCGGGCCGGATTGTAGCCCGCGGGACACATCTCTGAGTTATTACTGTAACGATCAATCTTTCCCAATTTAGTTGAAATAAATGTCATGGGTCATTTAACACCAATTGCGACGTCACATGGATGTCACGTGACGCGAGCCCGCGTTTGACCGACTCAGACTCAAGGTCACCCCGTTGTTTCATGTTACGCTTGCATTTGGCAGCGTCTTTCTAATTTGGGATTTAGCTTAGAATGTTTAGGTTTCCGACTCCGCTTTACCGTCGGTAGATGTCCATTTTAGGTCCACTGAATAGTAAGCTTCTCATTTACTTGGTTTAATGTTAATCAAGCCTATTGTCCTACAGATGTATACTTGTAGTTCGTGACCCAGAAAATTCTTTAAATACACGGTATACGACATTAGATTATACAGCACACGGAATTAGAATATAATATACGGTATTATTATACGTCATTATCGTAGTCAAACTTATTAATTTGTTCGCACTCTTTCGTCACACAAGTATCAAATTAAAAGAACTGGATTAATCATTCCGGAATAAATTTAACACATTGCAAGTCAGTGACAATCATATTGGACGAAGGAATTTAGGAATACAGTACAGCTAGTCAACAGCTACATAGTCAACAGGCCGGCCATCTCGGTCGGGACGTATTTGTCGCCTTCAAGTATCATCAGGTTAAAAGATGCCACTTACAATTAGGTCACTTACAATTAGATGAAGTGAATGTGATGTTTTTAAATAACCTGTCCCCGAACTCCGTGTCTCACGACGGGATTCCCGGGGAAATTACGTGACGCGAGGCGTAGGAATGAGAAATTGCGCAAATTGTTTTTGTTTGTGCGAACGTTGTTGTTAAGAAGAAAATGTTAAGAATTTATTTACAGTAAAACCAATAATTTACGCATTAAAAAAAATCAAAAATGATACTTATCTTTGAACGAGAGTATCGGTAAACTAAATCAGACCTCCTGAAATATGTGCACCAAGATGGCGCACAACCTGAACATAGTGAACATAGTGTGTGTGCTAGGTTAGGGTTCAGGTTATGCGACATCTTGGTGCACATACTTCAGGAGCACCACTACATCCAGATCTTTTGTACAAAGCCACAACTAATGCAAAAATGTGAGATTTAGTAATTATCCAGTTGGATTTGGGGGCGCTCCCGAAGTATGTGCACCAAGATGGCACACAGCCTGATAACCCTAACCTGATACACATACTATGTTCAGGTTGTGCGCCATCTTGATGTACATACTTCTTGAGGTCCCCCGAATCTTTCCGTATCGGCATTGCTTACCCTATTCATTACACCAATTGCGGCCCCTTGCGACTTCTCTGTAAATTCTTTTGGGACACGGGCCCCCGGTTGGAAACCGCTGCAATAAGCAATGCGGAACTAAAAAGGTCTTTTTCACATAAAAGTCGCTGCTTGTGCAGAGCTTCTTTCATACAACAGTATTGGCTGCCTGTACCAGGGATGTAGCCAGAAATATTCAAAAAAAAATGAGCTGGAGTTCTGAAATTTCTAATTGCCAAATTAACCGTGGCAGATAGTGAGGCTGAAAAACGTGGATTTACAAGTGTCTCGAGATTCCAAATATTCTCAAGCTACGAAAAATTCTTATGTATGATACAGGAAAATGCTGTTTTTTACATTTCAAAACGGTAGGGGGTTCGACCCCGAACCCCCCTGACTACGTATCTTTTCTGTACAGATCAATGTTAGGGGTAAAAATGTAAATGCGTTTTATCAGAGACAAATGAATCATTTTGAATGAAATGATGCATTTACTATAAAAAGCAAATACATTTTACGTATTTTAATATCGGAATTTCCCACAGATGGCTAATTTATAAAATTTGTTTTCGTTCAAAAACATCACATCGAATTCGCCAATATACCGGTAACATATCCTCGAGGCAAAACACTTGTTTGAGTCAAGTTACTCGTTTAATTAAGGCCTGAATTCTGCAATGACCACGGTAATTTAGCGATCTAACAAAGCTAATAGGCGAAGGTTTTTTATATCTATATTTTTGATCACAAAGTGGACTTATGGGTCGTTTTCACGTATTTTTTTCGAACAAGGCAGGTTTACAATTACCAGTAGGAATGATATATTCATTGGTGACCGTACATTTGAACCCACGTACATTTGAACCCATGTGTATATCCGCGGGTTCAATCTATATGCGGGTGCTAAAACCCATGGGTTAGGTTAGTATGGGTACAAATACCCGTAAAACCAAAAAATTTCCATAGGTGTAATAGTATGCAGGTGCAATTTTCGTGGGTTCAAATGTACGTGGGTTCAAATGTAATGGAACCATATTCATTTATTCAATTTTTTTATTACAGTTTTTAATTTAGTATAAGAGTAAGACAGCATGCGCGTGTTGGCGGTTGTTATCGTCATTTATGTTTGCATACATAAAGGTGAGTGAATATATTATTAATATACGGTGTTCTTCTACGCCATGAATGTTTCCCCAACCTTTGACCCCTGAAAAGGTGGGCGAATATTATTTGCTATTATACCGCGTCCTTGTGCGCCTTTTTCTCCGAACATGGCCTCGCACCAGCAGAAGTCACCTACGGGTAAAAAACTGCTTTTTTTTTTTAAAAAAGATTATGATTTGGAATTTTAAGACTATAAATATTTGGCTATGTCACTATGCGGCGCGGCGATGTGGCTCAACGGGCTAGCGTTAGTAATACGCTCGCCACCGCACCTCTAATTACCTTGCATGGGTTCGCAGGTTCGAATCCCATGCAGGGATGGTTATGTGCGAGAGGATTGCTGGACTCCTCGCCGTCGTTGGGTGGTTCACGTAACCGCTGGTCGGTTACGGCTTCCTCCACCGCCAAGTCCATGCTCCCGAAAACAAACATTATAACTAATCCCATACCCGACTTGGAATGGTAACCGGACGAGAGGCCGTGGTTCGCCATATGGATAAGCCGTCTTATCGGTTTTCCTCTCCCCCGGTATAAATATGTAAATCCTATCATATCCTATTTCAAATTCAGAGTCAAATTCAGTTAACTGAAATTGAAATTACAGCCCTTGCAGAAGCAAAATGTGACGGCGGATACTGGTCTCCTTTCTACAATAGAGACGACCCATCTGCTACAGGTGATTGGGAAACTCTCCATGCTCTCAGGTATGGAAGGATGTGCGACATTATACCGTTTGGTCGTGTTTATATAAAAATTTTCTCATAGTAAAGTCACACGTACTTACCCAGTAAAAAGGAGATTGATCTCGAAGTGAAAGATAATAACAAAAATGCTAAAAATTATGGAAACTATATATATAGCAGGAATATGCAACATTTTGTCGGCGGGCCGTATAACCAACTTCAGACATCCAGCTGAACCACACAAAGTAAATGGACCTCTAGAAGTATGTGTACCAAGATGGCGCACAACCTGAACACAGTATGTGTACCCGATTAGGTTCAGGTTGTGCGCCATCTTGCTGCATATACTTCGGGAGCGCCAAATAAATAGTTTTTCCACGTACAAAACGAATTAAAAAATTAGCAATAACCAGAGCGCCGCGGGGAAAATAAGAAAATACGACTATCGCTTAGCTTTACAGTAATAAAGGCACCGAACAAAACGGCGGAAGACTTAACGCAGTGAAAAGATAAAAAATAATATTATGTTTTTTACTCATGTGAGCACCTTTTCAAACCTAAACTGTCGGATTAGGATTTCATGCTTGATGAGATAATCTGAGTGTTGACAAGGGCCTCACTTAATGGATTGGCGGGCCGGATTGTGGCACGCAGGACGTGTGTTTGGAATTTAAGGAGGTGTTCACTGTCCCTCATTATCATTTTATCACTAAATTTCAGGAAAAAACACCCCGCATTATGCTCCAAACCACGTGCAATAGATGCCAGACTGTTCAATGGGATCCCTACTATCTTGGAGGTGACCACGTTGATATCAGTCCAACCAAGGGTTTAGTTTGTGAGAATAAGAAGCAGAAAGATCACAAGTGTAACGATTATAAAGTTCGTTTCTGTTGTCATTTTAAAGGTAAGTTGATATCGGTGATCTAAATATCTTGAGTTTGAATCCCAGTGTCGACGCCACTATATATTTTAAATGCCTGACGATCACCAGGTGTCATGAAATGTGTTCCCATTAAACCTGAGGTTCATCATACCGCATGACAATCACCAGATATCATAAAAAGTGTTCCAACATCAAAGTAAGAAAGAAAATATTTTCGTGAAATGTCTGATTCCATATGAATTTGAGCAACAAGTAAAAGTACAAGCATTTTAGAGATTTCATCCATTTTTAAGCACCGATAGTTTGTGTTATGTCCCATCAATTGCGATAATCATTGAGAAAAATGATTTTCCCCGACAACTAATGTCACCAGATAAGTACAACCCAAACGATTCATATATAGTATACAATAATCTGAGGTGAAATCCGGTTTCTTTGTTATGAATGTCCTCATTTATCATGATATATATATATGAACAATTTTGGTAGGAAAAAAAAACTGTACGCCCGTAGCGTATGTGCCAGGTCAGGGTTAGGCCATAATTTTATTCCAATTTTCCTTATTCTAGTTTAATTACGAGTTCGGTGACTGTCTGTGTTAGCCAAGTGAATATATACCTTCTCCATAGTTTCAATTTCTGCACACAACTTGATGTAAAGTAGGCGAATAAAATTAGTTACCTCTATATTGATACACACACTTCTGAAGCGCCAAAATACTTAGTCTAGGATACACAATCTCGAAAAAAAAATTCAAGCCGTTTATTTCTTCAGAGCCATCTTGCAAAGGAAAGTGGACTCAATGGTTTGATCGAGACAATCCTTCCGGTAAAGGAGACTATGAGACTCTCTCAGATTTAATCACGTAAGTGCAGTGACTTCTTTTTTCTTTCGTTGCTTAAAAATCAGAATAGGATGTACATATTTATCCTGTGGGAGATGAAAGCCGATAAGACAGATCAACCATATGACGAACCATGGCCTCTCAATTCGGTTACTAGTCCATGCAACTGTTTTGCTAACAGCTAACCTCAGGATAGTTGTCTAGAAATCTTGTATATATATTTGTTTTGCTACGATGTTTTTGATCTTTATTATGCGATATAGAATTTAATATTCAAAGCTTCAGAAATTTAGTATTTATATTGTTGAATAAATTGAATAGATTTCCCAACTTTGTGAATTTATCGCATTGACAAAAATATTCGTCCGGCTCATTTCCAACACAGTTTGAGTCATACCTGGCCCTCGGTCAAAAACGTTAGGTGATTCCAGGTTTAGCCAGATATTTGTTTTTTCGGAAGCATGGACTTGACTTAACATATACTTGTCCACTTTCCTCTACTGCTGTTAAGATCAAAACACTCAAATTTTTCAGTGAAAGCGAAGGGGGTTCCAAATACTACATCTGTCACAAACCAATCGGCATCGACGCCCGAGCACTCAACCCTCACCGACCCTGGCAAGCAGTCTACGAAAAAGTTCACATCTCAGCTGACAAAGGGCTTTATTGCGTAAACAAAGAACAATCGGACAGAAGATGTGAAGACTACAAAGTTAGACTCTGTTGTCCTCCCAAGCGGAAGTGTAAGTTTTTATTTTATTTCAACGAATTAAGGAGAATATTTTTAGATATTTCACACTTCCTATATCTACAAGACATAGACATATATATATAATCACTGAATTAAGAAAATTATCGGGTGAGCAAAAGAAAAAATGTTGATTTATATGTGTTTTATTTTTCAGATGTACCATATCGTCCCCCTTTGAATCAAGTTCACCATATCAATGCTTCCAAACTCTTTGAATGAAGCTCTTATTTGTCGTGACTGGCCTCGGCTGCTAGAATACCTTCGAACTAAATAAACTAAAACCTTCTTCGGACTAAAATTTCCTCTCTTGGTATAGATTTAGCGATTTTGTTATGTTCATATATCAAGGATTACTATTTTTGGACACGAAGTGGACATAACGATCGTTTCAATATTATGTTGTTGTTGTTCTTGTTCTTGTTCTTTGACACGTTTTTAAAAAGTCGCTTTTCTCTTCGAATACTGGACCAATTGCTTTGAAATTTTCAGTGGTTAAAGATTAATTTTTTCGCTAGAAGGCTATTACTTTTATTTATTTCAAAATTTTGCGTGAATTCTATGAAATTTGATATTTCGTCTAAAATTTTGCTGTATTATTTTTTATCCATGGGAACACGGATTTTAGTCAGTGTCATGACTGGCTGTACGTTTTGATTCTGCAAAATTCTTGCTACTGGAAATTCAGAACTTTTTTGAGGGTACCGGTAGCGTCAAAGGTACCGGTAAGGACTGATTCGCTCTGGCCTAACGTGTCCATATATTTGTGCGTAGCTCTCCTTGTTTTGTTGATATTCATTTTACTCCCTACAAGAAATACATATGAATCTTGTCTCACTTTGTTATTGCTGCATTAATTGTATCGAAGAATTGAGAGTTTTAGTGTGTAGTTATTACCAAATAAAGAGAACACAAAGAAATCAATGTGATTGATTGCTAAAAATGGCACTATCACTATGGTGTCATGAGTCATCATAAATAATAAAACATGATTGTAAATACTAAAATATTGGTGCTCCTGAAGTATTTATACCAAGATGTTGCACAACCTGAACATAGTATGTGTGCCATGTTAGGGTTGTTCAGGTTGTGCGTAGTCTTAGTACGAATACTCCCGGAGCGCCAAAATATTTGGTAAAAGACGAGCTGTTGTCGATAAATTTAAAATGAACTTATCTACATTAATGGCATATTACCCCTTTACTTAATCTACATCTCGTCGTTTGATATATGATGCTTTTTTCAAGTAAATTTATAATGTATAGCTGCAATTCAATTGGGCCATTTATATGTTCCCCGGTGTCAACTTCAACCCCGTAACATTCAAGTTTTTGTTGAAAAAGAAAAAAGAAAATTCAGGCGACCCAGTTTTGGGACGTAACCCATAGGTGGGATACACTGCTATAACCGACTGGACATGAGCAAACCACGGCCCGTTGGGGGATTCAATCTGGCCCGCGCGATGCGGTCATAAATTTATGCTTCAACCAATTCTGCATGTACTACAGAGTTTTTGGTATTGTGAGAATACGAGCTTGTGAGAATATGACCGTAATCTGTGTAAGTTGTATTTTAGTTTGCCAAAGACTTTTATGTTATGTGAACGCTGAGAAAACTTTACGTTTTCTCGCTCGCTCGGTTCACGGCGATCTTCCATACTTTTTTCTTTTGCGCGCACAGACTTGAGTTTCAATTTAGTGTCGTTAACGTCCCCATAACGCTCTCTTAACGTTCTTTTATGTTCATAGATTACTTTTTGTTGATAATTCTTGGCTTTACGCATTCTTATCATTCGGTTGCACATTCTGTTCAAAAAATGTAAATTTTTACGTCACAGTCACATGACCCGCCAATCTGAGTCGGCAAAATTTTTGGTACTCCTGTAGTATGTGAACCAAGATGGCGGCCACCGGAACGTAGTATGTGGTACCAGGTTAGGGTTAGGCCATAATTTCAGGTACAAATACTATGGGAGTCACTTGACTAGTCTCCGAACTCGTAATAGAGCTAAAATAATGAAAATTGGAATAAAATGATGGCCTAATCTGGTACACATACTACGTTCCGGTGTCCGCCATCTTGGTTCACATACTTCTAAAGCGCCAAATTTTTGACCTTGCCCACACTTGCGATGGATAATCTCGTCTAACAACTTTTGTCAAACATATGAAAATATCGCAGTCACAAGAGTTCATGTGACATTCTCACAAACACATTTTACGTAACTGTAAAACACAAGGTCGTGACAGACATTAGTGGTTAAGATGATTTAAAATTACTTAATTACAGATTTTTCAAATGGAAATTATAGTTTAAAATGTTAAATTTGGTTACCTTTCTAAGGATTAACTTTGTACATGTATTAATTGGTTTCACCAGTTCCCAGTACCATCCGTCACGATTGCATCGAAATATGAAAGACAGTCAGCACGATGTCATAAAAAGGTGCTCCCATATATAAAATTTTATGGTATTTAAACAGTTTTCATAGTTGATAAATAACGTTTTTTTTCAAATGTGATTATAGATTTTGCACTCTACAACCCATCAGGGTGAACTCTCATAATCCGTCATTCCCATAGCCTACAGAGGATTAACGAAACCAAATATATATATATACAAAGTTTATCCGTCGGAACATAAACAAGATTAACATTTTGTAATTTTAAATCTTCTTAACCACTTAAGTCTGTCACGACCATGACCCCGAAACCAGAAATAAGTAAAAAGTTTTACAGTTACGTAAAAAACGTTTTATGAGTATATCACATGAACTCATGATTGTGCTATTTTTAACGTTAGGCAAAAGTTGTAGGACGAGATGTTTTATCGGTTATGGACCTTACCCCGAAAATCGACTTCCTTGTTTACTTTGTGACATTGGCCAATCAGCAAATTGCAAAAAGTGACGTAGTATCTCATCCGCTCAGACACTTTTCTCACTCAGACAGATTTTCAGGCTCGTTCGTAAACATTACCTCGTTTCCGCGTTTGTGAATTCTATTTTTTAGTTTTCAGTTGTGTTTCGGATATTTAAATATATATCAAATAATTCAATGATCAATTTGTCTTCTTAGGAGTGTCAGTTTAATTGCAGTATTCAAAAATTAGTATAGAAATTGCTGTAATAATCTAGGCTAAAGCTCTTACTAAAGTACTTTTAAAAAACAGATTGTTGAATGCTATAAATCAGAATGAGAGTTTGAAACGAATACCCCATTCTACAGGCACCAACTCGCAGGACCACTCCTAAAACGAGAATATCGGTCAGAGACCGAAGACTTATCGATCGAAAGTTAGGGTATCCCCCAAAACAGTGCTCTTACTCCATAGTGACACCTTGTGTCTCATCACTAATTAATTAATAACTCGCTGATTATACGACATAATTTGCCCAAAATCAATAGACTTCTGGTCCGAGATAATTTGGATGCACATGCAAAATTTGGAGCAGATTCAATCTCGATTTCGTGAGGTATCGCGTGCATCTAACAGACAAACAGACATACAGACAGACAAATGAGCACCGAAAATGTTGCAATGGTAAAGTATAGGAAGGATTTTACGGGGGTCAAAGGTCGGGGAAATTTCCATAGCGTTTGATTTAATTCTGTTGTCATCGCAAGTATGCATCTCGGCTTCAATAACCCACATGAGCATAAGTGTTTTTATCATTTCGGCCGACTAAAATTGACAGCATTCGAGCTATTTAACTTGCCACAACTCGGTCATTTGGAACACGTCTTAGAGAAAACATAACTTTGTGCTAAGGGTCCTAGTTTACCAAAACTCATGCGTACAATCATATTGACAATCATATTGAGTTCTGTTCTTTTATTTTATTGCTTATCGATTTTTTACTTTCGATCGATTTTAATTGATAAGTAATCGGTAGTATGTTAATAGATATTTGTCTGTCTGTATGTCTGTTTGTCTGTTAGATGCACCCGATATCTCACGAAAGCGAGATTGAATCTGCTCCAGATTATGCATGTGCATTCATCTTATCTCGGACCAGAAGCATATTGATTTTGGGCGAATTATGTCGTATAATTATCGAGTTATTAATTAATTAGTGATGGGACTCAAGGTGTCACTATGGAGTAAGAGCGCTGTTTTGGGGGATCCCCTAACTTTCGATCGATAAGTCTTCGGTCTCTGACCAATATTCTCGTTTATTTTTTTTTTGAAGTGGGGGGGGGGGCATACTGTGATGCAATACTACAATTAAAATAGTGTCTATTCAAACAATTTCGAACGAGATATCGTTTGCAACAGCAGGGTTACGCAGGATAAGATTTTCATGTTAATTTCGTGGAGGGGGTAGGGGGTTAAGACAGTTTCGTTACGTGTTTGGTTGAAAAATATAAAACTATATTCGATAATGAAATGAATAGAACAAAATTAAAAAAACAAATGTTGATATCGAACATTATCTTAATTAGAAAAATCGAAAGCTTTGCCGCCTTGTGTTTTCATTTCCGTCATTTTCTACATATTTTCACTTTCAATTGAAATATTATTTTAATGTAAGTGAATCGAACAAAGGAATTACAACATACAATACAAGAATTAAAATGGCTTCGACACATCCTAACAATACTGAATACATCTTGACAATACTGAATATATAATTGAATGGAAAAATAAAATGATCGGCAATATAATGGACATGTCAATTGAATAGGACGGATTCCGGTTTTGCATATGCTAGCAACTAGACTATTTGCGATTTCCGGTTTTTGTTTTTATGTCCTAGCGTTTAAAATACACCTGAGGGCGTTTGTTAATTTCAAACGTCTAAAATTAAAAAGCATTATCAAAACATAGCATCGATCCTTTCAAATAATATTATATGTATAAGTGGAATCTAGTTTGGACAGGATCTTGTTGGAATTTTTTGGGTGCTCCCGAAGTATGCGAACCAAGATGGCGGACATCGGAACGTAACATGGGTAACAGGTTAGGGTTAGGCGATAATTTTTTTCCAATTTTCCTTATTTTAGTCCTATTATTAGTTCGAAAACTAGCCAAGAGCCTCCCGTAGTATTTATACCTAAAATTATGGCCTAACCCTAACCTAGTACACATATTACATTCCGATGTCCGCCATCTTGGTTCGCATACTTCGGGAGCCCCATTTTTTGATTGTCAATTTACATACCCGACATGTACCGAGAACCCGACTTTGGTAGGAGGGCATTCAAATAGAGATTGGAGCCATAAATTCGACACTATTCCTAATCTGCTGTCTATATGTCAGCCCAAAAGCCCCCAGAATTTAAAATGTCTTTCTATTTTAATTTAATTGTGTTCATGGTAATTCGCGGTTGCGTCGACTACAA